TTTTTTTTAAAGATTTTATTTATTTATTTGACAGAGAGAGAGACAGCGAGAGCAGGAACATAAGCAGGGGGAGTGGGAGAGGGAGAAGCAGGCTTCCCGCCGAGCAGGAAGCCTGATGCAGGGCTCGATCCCAGGACCCTGGGATCATGACCCGAGCCAAAGGCAAACACTTAAAGACTGAGCCACCAGGCACCCACCAGTCTATGTTCTTAACCACTATGCCCTACTGCCTCATGGAGATCTTAGAGGTTCAACACCAAGTTATGAGCACAAAACATGCCTCAGAAGAAGTAAGAGTACTTCAAAACATATTGTGCAGAAAGAAGACTCAAAGATGACTGCAAAGCTGCTAGCTTGGGCAAATGGAAGAAACATGGTATCAGTGACAAAAATTAGACAGCTGGAAAAGAAAAGTTGAAGAGGGAGGCGAGAGAAATGCCGCATTTGAGGTGATGGTAGAACATCCATAAGAGTTCTATAGACAGGGGTACCTGGCTGGCTCAGCAAGCAGGGCATATGACTCTTGATCTCTAGGTTCCAAGTTCAAACCCTACACTGGGTATAGAGATTACTTAAAAAATAAAATCTTTAAAAAAAAAAAAAAAAGAGTCCTGTAAACAACTAAAAATTATGATTATACAAATTAATTTTATTTTCTTCTCCAGACTAGAAGTCAGTGATTAAAGCTAGAGATGTGAGGGACACCTGGGTGGCTCAGTCGGTTAAGCGTCTGCCTTTGGGTCAGGTCATGATCCCAGGGTCCTGGGATCGAGTCCTGCATCGGGCTCCTTGCTCAGCTGGGAGCCTGCTTCTCCCTCTGCCTGCCACTCCCCCTGCTTGTGCTCTCTCTGAAAATAATCTTAAAAAAAAATTAAGCTAGAGATATGAATTCAACTATGATTAAATGTCCACTATATACAAGGCAGTGCAATTGACATAATTTATATTTTTATTATTTTTATTTAATACTTACTATAAAATATTTAATTGTCCACACTCCCTGAAACTATTATCTTTAGAGGATAGTGATAATGTCTTTTTCTTTCATTTATTCATTCAACAAATACTTACTGAGCACCTACTATGGGCAAACTCTAGGGATGTGATGAAGAACAAGGAAAACAATTCCTGCTACCACGGAACATGGACAAGAGTAATGATTCTCAACCATTCCTGAATATTGGAATCATTTGTGAAGGAAATGTTATAGAAAAGGTATTCCAGCCTGATGCATTAACCCTGGACCCAATTAGTGCCTCCCATGGTGGGCCCCCGTTAGGTTTAATTTTTTTAAGGGTTTCACAGGCAATTCTGAGAATCAGTGTTGAGGATCACTTTTAAAATGGCTGTCTTCACGAGTGTACCTAGCGTAGTTGTTTGGCACAAAGTAGGCACTCAAAATAGAGTACCATTTGATATTACTGTTACCCATTTAACAGTCAAGGAGACTAAGAGAAATTACCTTGCCCAGAGGTACATAGAGCCAGCAGCAAAGCTAGAATTTAAGTGAGTATTTTCTGAGACAATCAATCCCATCAACCAAATATGAGTGGCTGATAAGGAAAGGATCCTAGATAGTACAAAAGGAGGCTGAAGCAATGTGTGTCACGGAGGACTGGAATCCCAGAAGCCAAGGATGACAGGAGTCTGAAGGAACCGAACTTCTCAAAAGAGCTGGTTCCCTTTCACTGTCACCACTCCTACACCTGTTAGCTATTGTTTTGTTCTCATTTTTGTATTTTTGGTGTCATCTATTTTGACATTCAGAAAATAGAGCATAAAACAAACACCTATGTACCCACCAACAGCGTTTATTGTATCTCAACACTTGTCATCATTTTCAGTAATTGTTTTTTTAGAAATGAGACGTTTACATTTATATTCTTCTACCTTAGAAACAATCATTGGTGTTCATCATTCCTCTGCATAACTTTTTATTTTTGTTTAACATTTTATTTTTTAAGTAATCTCTATACACAACATGGAGCTTGAACTCACAACCCTAAGATCAAGAGTCACAGGCTCTACTGACCTAGCCAGGCATCCCTCCATAATTCTATTTTTATGCAAATGACTGTATCTATACTTAAATGTTTATATATCAAATTTCATATAAATAATTATCAAGACAATTTGTATAATTTTGCTCCTTGCCTTCTCCTCCCTTGCGATTTCTCTATGTAGTTCTAGTTCACTCAGTTTAACTCTGTATTGGTATTATTAATAAACCACAATTTACTCATCCATCTTTCTGTGGATAAACATTTAAGATGCTGCCTTTTTTTTTTAATTGCAAATTGTGCTGCAGCATACATTATAATACATGTGCTTTGGGGAGCTCTGTGAGATGCCTGGCATGTATCACAATGCAATTGGTGAATTGGAGAGTATGCTTATCTTCAGCTTCACTACACATTCTCCAAAGTGACCAAACCAACTTATACTCAACACTTGCATAAGAATTCCTACCGCTCCATTTCCTCATTAACATTTTTTAATTCTTATCCTGATGGATGAAAAGTGAATGGGTATCTTATTGTTGTTTAATTTTAATTTACCTAACAACCAGTTAGATACATCTTTTCATGTGTATGGGCCAATACTTTCCTGTTAATACCTACCAGCAGTTATTTCTGAGTTAAATAGGATGTGTATATCTGTAATTTTTATGAAACTGCCAAACAGTTCTGCAAAGTGGTTGTACCATTTTATACTCCCACCAACAATGTATGAGTTTCAGTTGTGCCAATCTTTGTAAGCACTTGGTGCTTATCAAAAAACTTGTCATTTTTTTTTTTTAATTTTAGCCATTCAAGCGGGTATTAAGTGGAATCTCACGGTGGTTTTAATTTGCACTTCCCAAATGACAAATGATGTTGAGCACTTTTTCATGTGCTACTTTTCCTTGTGAAATGTCTGCTGGAGTCTGTTGCCCATTTTTTTCAAAGATTTTATTTGTTTCAGAGAGAGGGAGAGCACAAGCAGGCGGAGCAGCAGAGAGAGAGGAAGAAGCAAGCAGTCTCCCCGCCGATCAGGGAGCCCGACGCGGGGCTCGATCCCAGGACCCTGGGACCATGACCTGAGCCGAAGGCAGATGCTTAACCAACTGAGCCCCCCAGGCGCCCCAATGTATATGTTTTGTAAATATCTTCTCTCATCTGTAGCTTGCCTATTGTACTTTTTTTTTTTTAAAGATTTTATTTATTTATTTGAGAGAGAATGAGAGAGAGAGAAAGAGAGCATGAGAGGGGGGAGGATCAGAGGGAGAAGCAGACTCCCCGCTGAACAGGGAGCCCGATGTGGGACTCGATCCCGGGACTCCGGGATCATGACCTGAGCCGAAGGCAGTCGCTTAACCAACTGAGCCACCCAGGTGCCCCGCCTATTGTACTTTCTTAGTGGTATTTTTTTAGTGAACAGAAATTTTAATTTTAGAGAAATCTAATTTATCCATATTCTTTTTTCTTTTATGGTCATTGCTTTGTCCATAAGAAATCTTTGCCTATCCCCAAGCCATGAAGATATACTATGTTTTCTTCTAAAAGCTTAATATTGTTATCTTTTCCATTTCAAATGATGATCCAGCTCAAATTATCATGTGAGGTGGAGGCCGTGGTTCATTTTTTTCCCAGTAAGAATAATCCAGTTGTTGCAGCACCATTTGTTGAAAAGATTTTTCCTTCCTCCCCTGGACTGCTTTGGTACCTTTGTCAAAAATCATTTGACTCTGTAAGTGTGGATTATTTATGGATTCTATTCTGTTTTATTGATTTGTCTATACTTAGACCAATATCACACTGTCTTCATTACTATATATTTTTAGTAAGTCTTATGTCAGGTAGTATAGGTCTTCCACCTTCAGTGATCTTTTTCTAGATTATTTTGAGTATTCTAGATCCTTTGTATATCAATATATTTTAGAATTAACTTGTCCTTTTCGGCGACGGCCCTTGGTTCCGGCCGCGGCGGGGGTCGCAGGTTGTCTGGGGCAGGTTCTCCTCGGCGCTCCCCCATGGAGGAGGCGGCGCTTACGGCTGCAGCCCTGGATGCTCTCACCTCCTTCTGTACGGCGATGAAGGCACTGGCCGCGGCGACGAAGGCACTGGCCGCGCGAGCTCAAGAGGCGGCGGCCCGTGCAGCCTTTGTGGGCATGTAAGCGGAGGTGACCAGGGCCAGATAGTGGAGGGGAAACCGCATGGCCAGCCTCCAAGTGGGGCCGGAGCTACTCTGCCAGGGTTTAAAACTTTAAATGAGAATAAAGAGTATTTACAAGGAAATGAAAGTGAGTAAGTCATCTCTAACTGCTTCCAGACTTTTTTTCCTAAGAGAGACCATATTAAACTTACATATTTGAAGATTGCATAATCCTGCCTCCAGCACCAGTGGTTTCTCTGTTTTGTGATCAATGTGACTCACAAGAACTTCTTTAGTAACAAACGAAATGATCCAGGGGCGTGGAAAATATGACTTTTACATTGGTCTGGGATTGGCTATGAGTTCCAGCATTTTCAGTGGCGGGAGTTTCATTTTGAAAAAAAAAAGGTCTTCTGCGACTTGCCAGGAAAGGCTCCATGAGAGCAGGTCAAGGTGGCCATGCATATCTTAAAGAATGGTTGTGGTGGACTGGATTGCTATCAATGGGAGCAGGTGAGGTGGCCAACTTTGCTGTATATACCTTTGTACCAGCCACCCTAGTGACTCCGTTTGGAGCTCTCAGCGTACTAGTAAGTGCCATTCTTTCTTCATACTTCCTAAATGAAAGACTTAATCTTCATGGGAAAATTGGATGTTTGCTAAGTATTCTAGGATCTACAGTTATGGTCATTCATGCTCCCAAAGAAGAGGAAATTGAGACTTTAAATGAAATGTCCACAAGCTGGGAGATCCAGGTTTTGTGGTCTTTGCAACACTTGTGGTCATTGTGTCACTGATATTAATCTTCGCGGTGGGACCTCGCCATGGACAAACATTCTTGTGTACATAACAATCTGCTCTGTAATTGGAGCATTTTCCGTCTCCTGTGTTAAGGGCCTGGGCATTGCTATCAAAGAGCTGTTTGCTGGAAAGCCTGTGCTGCGACATCCCCTGGCCTGGATTCTGCTGCTGAGCCTTATAGTCTGTGTGAGCACACAGATTAATTACCTGAACAGGGCCCTGGATATATTCAATACTTCCATTGTGACTCCAATATATTATGTATTCTTTACAACATCAGTTTTAACTTGTTCAGCTATTCTTTTTAAGGAGTGGCAAGATATGCCTGTTGATGATGTCATTGGTACTTTGAGTGGCTTCTTTACAATCATTGTGGGAATATTCTTGTTGCATGCCTTTAAAGACGTCAGCTTTAGTCTAGCAAGTCTCCCTGTGTCTTTTCGAAAAGACGAAAAAGCAATGAATGGCAATCTCTCTAACATGTATGAAGTTCTTAATAATAATGAAGAAAGCTTAACCTGTGGAATTGAACAACAAAGTGGTGAAAATATCTCCCGAAGAAATGGAAATCTCACAGCTTTTTAAGAAAAATGTAATTAAAAGGTTAATCTATAAAAAAAAAGAATTAACTTGTCAATTTCTGTTTTTTGTTTTTCAAAAGTTTATTTTTTTACTAATCTCTATACCCAGTGTGGGGCTCGAACTCAGCACCCCAAGATCAAGAGTCACACACTCTTTTGAGCCAGGCAGTTTCTATGTTTTATTTATTTTTATTTTTTTATTTATTTATTTTTTAATTTATTCATTTGAGACAGAGAGAATGAGAGAGAGAGAGAGAGAGAGAGAGAGCACATGAGAGGGGGGAGGGTCAGAGGGAGAAGCAGACTCCCTGCCGAGCAGGGAGCCCGATGCGGGACTCGATCCAGGGACTCCAGGATCATGACCTGAGCCGAAGGCAGTCGCTTAACCAACTGAGCCACCCAGGCGCCCCAGGCAGTTTCTATTTTTTAAACAGCCTTTGATCAGGGATGCCTTGAATCTATAATATAATCAATTTGGGAGAAAACTGATAACTTAATATTTTGTCTTCCAATCCAAGAACATGGTATGTATTTCAATTTATGTTGTCTTAATTTCTCTTGGCACTGTATTGTAGTTTTATGTAGTCTTCTTTAATTTCTCTTGGGGCACTGTATTGTAGATTTTTATTACTTTTTTTGTTGTTGTTCTTAAACTTGTTCCTAAGTCTGTTTTTTGATACTAAGGCAATAATTGTTTTAAAAATTTCATTATTTTCATCTGTTTGCTATTAATATATAGATTTTTCATAAGTTCATCTTGTATCTTAATAACTTACTAAAACTCATTAGTTACTGTACTTTTATGTACACATGTCACCTAAGAATAGGGGCAAGTTTTGCTTCTATCTTTACGGTTTTTGTATCTTTTATTTATTTTTCTTGCCTTGTTATACTGGTTAGGACCTGCAACAAAATGATAAATTGAGGTTGTGTGAGTGGGCATCACTGGCTTATTTTTTTAAGATTTATTTTATTTTTTTTAAAGATTTTATTTATTTATTTGACAGAGAGAGACACAGCGAGAGAGGGAACACAAGCAGGAGGAGCAGAAGAGAGAGAAGCAGGCTTCCCGCAGAGCAGGGAGCCCAACATGGGGCTCGATCCCAGGACCTTAGGATCATGACCTGAGCTGAAGGCAGACGCTTAATGACTGAGCCACCCAGGCGCCCCTAGATTTATTTAGTTTTTAGAGAAAGAGAAAAAGAGAGCAAGAGGGGGAAGTGGCAGAGGGAGAAAATCTCAAGGCAATGCCACACGAGTTCAGAGCCCAACACGGGGATCTCACAACCCTGAGATCATGACCTGAGCTGAAATCAAGTGTTGGACGCTTAATCAATTAAGCCACCAGACGCCCCTGCTTGTTCTGATCTTAGGGGGAAAGCATTCAGTTTTTACTATTAAGTATCTTGTCAGCTATAGGCTTTTCATACATGCCATTTATTGGACTAGGGAAGTTCCCTTCTATTTGTAATTTGCTGACACTTTTTCTCATGAATCTTGCTGAATTCTGTTTAATGCTTTTTCTATACCACCATCAATATCAATATCCTCACATACACTATAACCAAAAAATGCTATGTCCAAAAGAGGTTATCTGATGGCTGCTCCCCAACCCGACATGATATTATGCATCAAAATGGGAATGTTATATTTGGGATTTGGACATTACTTTGTTCCATTAGAAAACTGTATCTGACATTTAAAAAAATTACTCTTCTACATGGTAAAAAAGCAAAGATATTAAAGTATTCTTCCTGACCCAGATCTTGCTTCACCAGTGAACAGAAAAATAATACATATTATAACATCATAAAATGTTTTTTTTTTTAAAGATTATATTTATTTTTTTAAGTAATCTCTACAACCAACGTGGGGCTCAGGCCTACAACCCCGCAATCAAGAGTTGCACGTTCCACCCACTGAACCAGCTAGGTGTCCTTTTAAAAATTTTTAAATCTTTCTTTGGTTTTTGTACTCAGTTTCATTCCTAACAAATTTTATGCTAAGCCATAATATCTTTTAATGTCTTGTGCTTTATGGCATATATTAAAATGGCTACTGCAAAGAAACACTTTAAATGAAATGTGGCTTTGTTATAAAACTAACATTTTATTAAATAAAATTTGAAAGGGAAAAAGAAAACCACTCAAATGGATTTCTTTCCAGGCTCATTTTCTATAGTGTTTCCTTTCTTCATATATTAATATAATTGAAATCACACCATATAGATAATTTTATGCCATTTGTTTTAACATTTATCCCAGTGATTTTCTTTATAAGCATACTAAATGTTAAAGCTAATTTAAAATGTGTCTAGTTGCGGGGCACCTGGGTGGCTCAGTTGTTAAGCGTCTGCCTTCGGCTCAGGTCATGATCCCAGGGTCCTGGGATCCAACCCCGCATTGGGCTGCCTGCTCCGCGGGAAGCCTGCTTCTCCCTCTCCCACTCCCCCTGCTTGTGTTCCCTCTCTCGCTGTGTCTCTGTCAAATAAATAAATAAAATCTTAAAAAAATAAAATAAAAATTAAAAAATAAATTAAAGGGGCGCCTGGGTGGCTCAGTTGGTTGGGCGACTGCCTTCGGCTCAGGTCATGATCCTGGGGTCCTGGGATCAAGTCCCCCATCGGGCTCCCTGCTCAGTGGGGAGTCTGCTTCTCCCTCTGACCCTCTTCTTGTGCTCTCTATCTCTCATTCTCTCTCTCTCAAATAAATAAAATCTTAAAAAAAATAAATAAATAAATTAAAAAAATGTGTCTAGTTGCCATATTGCTAGTTAACTTATACTGCATGCCATCTCATACAAAAAAGCTTTTGTTTTATTTTTTAAAGATTTTATTTTTTTGACAGCATGCACACAGGAAAGAGCACAAGCAGGGGGAGCTGAAGGCAGAGGGAGAAGCAGACTCCCCACTGAGCAGGGAGCCCGATGGGGGACTTGATCCCAGGACCCCAGGATCATGACCTGAGCCGAAGGCTGACACTTAACTGAATGAGCCACCCAGGAGCCCCCAAAAAGATTTTAATATAGGTTACATGTAATGATTCTACATTCACAAAACTACTCAGTAGCTGTGTAATTTTAGCTAAGATACTTAATTTCTAGGGGCACCTGGGTGGCTCAAGTCGGTTAAGCATCTGCCTTCAGTTCAGGTCATGATCCCAGGGTCGTGGGATCAAGTCCCGAGTTGGGTTCCCTACTCAGTGCTCCCTGCTTCTCCCTCTCCTCCCAGCTCATGCTCTCTCTCTGTTGCTCTCTCAAATAAATAAATTCTTAAAAAAAAAAAAAAATTCTCTAAGCCTCAGTTTCTAATCTGTAAAATGGGATTAATGAAGAATATACATTATAGGGTTATTGTCAAAATTTAATAAGACAATATACACAAAGTATTTAGTACAGTGCTTAGCACACAGTGAATACTCAACAAATGTTAGCGGTTACTATTCCATTAACACAAACCTCCTAGGTGATTGCCCCCAGGGGCAGTGCTAAAAAGTGGTGAAAAATTAAAAGAAAATCAACAAATCTCAGTTTTCAGTCTTGATTACTCATGGTGGATTATCTAGATCAGAGATCATGTGTCACCTGCTGATGTGTTTTATTTGGCCAGCACAATGTTTAAAAAATTTTTAAGGTGTGCTGAAATACAAAACTGCCAATATTTTATAGCTTTTAAATCAACAAACATGGGAATCTCGTATGATTCAACTTAATAAACGCCAACATTTTGAAACAGAGTTTACACACACACAGTTTTCTGACTTCTTTAGAAAATTAGGATGATGTGGCAACAAGTCCAAATGTCTACATAGTAGTTATTAGCTGGAGCTAGTAGTACCAGCTGCTGTCCCCTTTAGATGGCACCTATTCCTTTCTGTTTGCTACAGCCCACACCATCCTATTGTGCCTTATAACCTGACAAGTCCACACCATCCTATTTTGCCTTAAAATCTGACAACTTCACGCATTCATATTACCCCGGCTGGTGGCCATCAGAATTGGAAACCTCTTTTTTTTTTTTTCACGACACACTGGAGAGGCTTGATGCTTATTTAGCATTCAAGTGGTCTAATTGTGGGAATTTTTTTTTACCCTGTCCAAATTATAAATTTTGCTTGTTTTCTATGTAATGTATTGATAAACAGGTTGAGAGGAGAAATATAAACACAGGCATCTTTTAGATGTTAATTAAGGTATAATAACTCACAGTCTATAGCTGTGACGTACATAATAGTAGGGATCAAATTAAAAAATATTTAAAATTCACTCCTCTACAGTAAATTATGACTACTCCATATGGCCCTGGAGTCAAGGGCTCCAATATATTTGTAGCCATGAAGCCCCAGGTAAATCATTAAAACTCTGAGCTTCAGCTTTTCCTTATGTACAATAAAGATAATATTGCATACCTAAAAAGGTTGAGCAGGGAGTAAATTAAGGAAACCCAGCGAAATGGAAACGTCTCTTAATGTCCCTATCCCACTCTGAGTCATTCCCTCTGGTGTCTATTAAGGGAGAAAGTGCTTTATGAAGTAGTCATTCCTTAATAGTTATGTTTAAGCACTATGTAGACAAAAATTCTCAAGGCGGGGAGGAGAATGTGTAGACTGAGAGCATCACACTTGACCAGGGAAGTCTATCCAAACCGCTATCATGGGTGTTTATACTGAATTCCGAACTTTATAGAAAAACATTGAAATCTCATTCACTGAAGCCATCCTTTGTATTGTGTAACAAATAAAATGTCACCGGCATCCCCTGTAAGTAGACCAGACTGAGGGAACCGAAATTATAAGGCCCAAGGTACGCATTATTTTATACCTTCTCACCATCCCCAATTCTTCATCTAGGACGGAGGACGCGCAGCTTTATCGGGGCCCGGCGACAAAGGGGCCAAGCGAAAACACTCTCGGCCAGGGGCAGGGAGGGCCCTTGGCTACCGGGAAAGCGGCAGCCTGCGCGCCGCCGGTGCTCGAGCAGGGGATGAGTAACCGATCCCCTGGGCGCCGGGCCCTGCCGCGGGTGTGCGCTGCGCCCGGACGGAACGCGGGCCGGGAGGGCGGAGGAGCCAGTCCTGTCCCTGCCCCGAGTAGCCCGAGTGCTCGCACCGCCCCCGGGAAGGGCGCCTCCGCTGAAAGCCCGGGCCGGGCCGGCGGGGAGGCGCCGGCCACAGCCGCCGGGCCGCAACCGGGCTCCGCGATGCTGCCGTTACCCCGCCCCTCCCCCGCGCGCCAACCTGCGGCGGCCGCCGCCGCTCACCTGGTGGCGTCCGCGACGTTCCGGACGAACAGGGAGGTGTTGGGGGGCCTCGTGTAGCGCGACATGACCGCTTCCTCCGTTGCCTCCGGGCCTGCCCGCGGCCGTCGGGCTCGCTCCGTTTCTCGCTGCCGCCACAGCAGCTCAGCCAGCCCCCGGCGCGACCCCCTCCCCTCGGCCTCGGCCCCGCGAGCGCGCAGCCGCAGAGGCGGGCGCGGGGGGGGGGGGGGGGGGACGCTGCGCGGCGCGAGCCTGTCCGTGCGGACCGTGTGGGGGCGGGGCCCTAGCCGAGGGGGATACAGGGAGAGGGCGGCGCGGGGTCCGGAAGATCCAGGGGATCCGAGGAGGGGCGGTGCCGGGTCCGCGGGGATCCGGGAAGGGGGTTGTGCGGGAGACCCAGGGTCCGAAGAGATCCGGGGAGAGGACGGAGCTGCGTCTCGCAGATCGAGGGGATCTGAGAAGAAGGGGGCGGCGCAAGAGAGGATCCGGGACGGGGCGGTGCGGAGGGTCCCCGGGTTCCGAGCAAATCTGGGGACGGGGCGGTGCCGGGGTCCGCGGGGATCCGGGGAGGGGGCGGGCGTGGAGGCTGGAGTCTGAGGGATCGAGGGACGGGGCGGCTGGGGTCCGAGTGTGTCTGGACGGTGGAGGCCAGACGGGTCCTAGGAGCTGAAGCTGAGCTGGGGGTTAAAGGATCCGGAGAGAGGATGACGGGCGTCGTCGGAGTGAGTGGGGATGAAGATTGAGTTTAACTACTGAACAGCTGGATGGCCACCGGGGCCTTCATCCCGGCATCCTCAGTCCAAGTCCTTAGCAATTGTTCCTACTCCTGTCCCTTTAGGCCTGATCCTAATAAGATTTCAAACTGTGAGGATTCGGGTTTTGTTTGTCTGTGTTTTGATTCTTCATCCATTATTCCCTTAGGGCATACTATTCAAAAGCTTTGGGTACATTCATTTAGATGTTTATTGAGTGTCTACTATGCACCAGGAACTGTGCTAGGTGTGGGATATGGCAGTGAACACTACAGGCCTAGTCCCAACTCTCAGAGCTTACACTGTAGAGAGAGGGTCCAACAATAAACGGATGAACAAATGAATACATGATATAGAAGAAAGCACTGAAAATGCAGTGGCAAGTAAGCAAATTTAAAGTATCCTCTTTTCCTTGCTCCAAAATGTAACCCAGCCCTTTCTTTTTTTTTTCTTTAATTTTATTTACTTGAGAGAATGAGAGAGAGAGAGAGAGAGAGTTGGGTCAGAGGGAGAAGCAGACTCCCTGCCGAGCAGGGAGCCCGATGCGGGACTCGATCCCAGGACTCCGGGATCATGACCTGAGCCGAAGGCAGTTGCTTAACCAACTGAGCCACCCAGGCACCCTAACCCAGCCCTTTTTAGTTATCCTCCTCCTTCAGGTTTGCTCTTGTGGTTGGCACAGCCTATTACCCAGAACCGTAACCAGGTAACTTGTAATTTTTAATAGGACCCCTTTTTATTCTCAGAAGTGGTCGATTTGGGTGGATAAATAATAGGGTCATCCTACACAACTCACAGCTTCCCAAGGTCTAGAAACACTTCTGGAACAGTGGCCATTCGTTCAAAAGGGAATTGCTTTGGCACAGCAGTCACAGGGCTAGACAGGGAATATAAAGGTAGGGAGTGAGCAGGGTTCCTAGTCTCACGGAGCTTACAGTTTGGCAGGGAGGCAGAATCTAATAACACTAATAAACACATAAACTATGGTAAGAGCTGTATGCTGCTGAAAGGGGACCTTATAGTGGTTGGCAAACAGGGCCAAAAGTTCAGGGTCACTGAACTTTTCCCTGAAGTCTTGGGGAGGTATTTGAAGAATGAAAAAGAGCAATCCATGTACTGGAATAGCATGTGCAAAGACTTTGAGGCAATATAGGACTGGAAGGAGGCAATCAGGAGTAAAAAGCTGAAGAACAGTAAAGTGAGGCTGGAGAGCAGGCTGGGTTTATAGTAGGGAAATTTGGAATGCTGAGTGTACTGGTTTGCTAGGGCTGTCATAACAAATTACTTCCAATTCAGTGGTTTAAAACAAGAAAAATTATGGGGTGCCTGGCTGGCTGGGTCAGTGGAGCATGAGACTCTTGATCTCAGGGTTGTCAGTTCGAGCCCCATGTTGGGTGCAGAGATTACTTAAAAATAAAATCTTTTTTTAAAAAAGAGAAATTTATTCTCTCACAGTTCTGGAGGTCAGAAGTCTGAAATCATGGTGTTGGTAGGACCATACTTTCTCTGAAGGTTCTAGGGGAGAATCCTTCCTTGCTTCTTTCAGTCCCTGCTGCCTCTAGACATTCCTTGGCTTGAGGCTACATATCTCTAGTCTCTGCCTCCATCTTCACGGGACCTTCTCTTCTGTCTCTAAGAATACTTGTCATTGGATTTAGAGCCCACCCAGATAATCCAGGCTGGATCTCATGTCAAGATCCTTAATTGTACCTGCAAAGACCTTTTTTCCAAATAAGGTCATATTTAGGGGTTAGGGCTTAGACGTACCTTTTTTGGGGCCACCATTCAACCCACTATACTGATCTTGTGGAGAAAAGAGAGTTGACTTGGTGGGAAATGAGTTATTAATAAACCTATTCCCTGAATATTAAGTAGGGTAAAAACTTCATGTAAACTATGAACTTGGGGCACCTGGGTGGCTCATTTGGTTAAGTGTCTGCCTTTGGCTCAGATCATGATCCCAGTCCTGGGATCGCATCTGGCTCCCTGCTGAGTGGGGAGCCTGCTTCTCCCTCTCCCTCTGCCTGCCACTCCCCCGCCCCCGGCTTGTGCACTCTCTCTCTCTCTCTCTGTGTCAAATAAATAAATTAAAAAAAAAAATCTTTAAACTGTGACCTTATGTAGTTAAAAATATATGTATTTGTAAAAACATGTATTATGTATGTAAAATGTGTTATGTATCTAAAATATGTATTATGTATGTAAAATATGTATTTTGTAAAATAATATATATGTCCATATATAAATGGGATTCTTTTCCAGGTGGAGGCATTACACTCTGATTTTTACTTTCTTCTTATCTTTGGTACTGTCAGATTATTTTTGAAATCCATTTTAGAATTGGAAAAATCCTACAAAGTTCCTTTACAGTTTGAAGAAAAGCTTTTGTAGGAGTATGTGAAAAGATTTACAGTGCATGAGGAGTGGGTTTTTTCCTGTTCCAATTGATGGAAGTATCTGAGGAAAGGGTTTTAAACTGTGAAAGAAGCTTCATTTAGAATCTTGAACTTTAAAAGTAGCTGGAATTGGGGGCACCTGGGTGCCTCAGTTGGTTACGCGTCTCTTGATTTCAGCTCAGGTCATGATCTCAGGGTGGTGGGGTTGAGAGTCTGCTTGAGATTCTCTGCCTCTCTCTCTGCGCCGCTCCCCCCCCCCCGCTTGCACGTGCTCTCTCTCTCTCTCAAATAAATAAATACCTTTTAAAAAGTAGCTGGAATTGATTTAAAGATTTTATTTATTTATTTATTTATTTATTTATTTGAGAGAGAGAGAGAGCACGAGAGGGGGGAGGGTCAGAGGGAGAAGCAGACTCCCTGCTGAGCAGGGAGCCTGACGTGCGACTAGATCCCGGGACTCCAGGATCATGACCTGAGCCGAAGGCAGTTGCTTAACCAACTGAGTCACCCAGGTGCCCCTGGAATTGATTTAAAGTAAGTTGTGGAAATGGTAACTGTGAGGAAATGGACATGTTAATTATCTTGACTATAGTGATCATTTCACTGCATATATATATATATATATCAAATCATCATACACCTTAAATGTACACCTTAAATGTGTACATTTTTTATTTACTAATTTAGTTGTGGAGCCATATTATTTATATTACATAAAAATGTATGCTTTTCTTGTTTCTGAATATGAAGTATAAAGAAGTGTAAGTAATCTGCTTTCTAGTTGGAAGACCTGAGGAGGGACATGGTCAGGCATGGACAGTGGAAGAAGATTATACAATGCTAGGCTTGGCCAGTGTCTTGACCAGGTCATCAAACCAGTTGAGATGAGTAACCGATGAAACTATACTTTGTCTTTTCCTTGGCATTTTGAAGTACTCTTAAAGAAGTAGGGAAAAGGCTTAGGTCAAGACTAAATACCCTGCCTGTCACCAGACTCACAAATCTATACATATTTACCCTAAGTCCTAGAATTTAGCTAAGTGCCATTTAGTAAATTAATCATTGCTTTGAGGCACCAAATGGTATCCTACAGGCATGGGAGAGTTAATGTTCTTTCTAAATCTCCAGGAAATTCCCAAGGAGTATACCACTGGCAAAATCTGACAATTGTTGAATAACTAAAGCCCCTCTTCTACAGCAGAGTTTAATATATTGTTCTTGGCAGCAACTGCTTCCTTTCCATTTAATCCATTTTTAAAATTGCAGTCTATCCTCACCACAAAAAAGAAATAATAAGTGATTGAAAATTAAATTGTACTTGGGTACGTGTGTCTTAAAATCTGTGCAATGAAAAGCACTTTGAAAAAACAAATTCAGAATTAATGAAGTCACCTGATTGTGACTCCCTCTTATGCTGGGAACTCACTCCCCAACAGATGGTGCTAGCTCTCCTCTAGTTAGAGCTGCTCTGGTCTACCCTTTCTTAAAATGTACCATGCATAACCTTGAAGGTGAAGAGTGATGTGATGATTGGTGTAGAATGTATTGTAAACTTTCTTCTATTGCCCCGAACTTTGGCTTATAAAACATTATTCCACACAATCCAGTTGAAAAATCTATGATTGTATCCTCTTATGAAGTTGATTTCTTCCACGGCTATAGGAAATAATTTAAAAGGTCATTTATTTGATAACAATGGATAGTATTTAACTTTTTCAGAAACATTGGCTTACAGAAGGCCCATCACTTTACCTGCATATTCCCCAAAATGACACTTGGTCTTGAAAATGTTAGAGGTGTGTGCTTCTTCCTAATTAATTTGGCAAATGTTTAGTGATGATCTATTGTACGTTAACCATAGTACTAGGAACTGGGGATGAAAAAAGAAGTTACGCTTCATAATTCTGAAAGACTCAGCCCAGTGTCTCCCAGACTTAAGTCATTTTCATATATCCTACGAGATTTTTGCCATGATGTACTGCTTTACTGTAATAGGCTTATTATTTTTCTTTAA